GGGGGGGGGGGGGGGGGGGGGGGGGGGGGGGGGGGGGGCAGCAGGCAGGGAGGCAGAGAGGAGCGGGGACACGCGCCACGCCCTGCACCTCTTCCTGGGCCAGCACTGCAGCACCCACGTGCCCTGGCGGGGGCACGGGCCCCTCTTTGTGCAGCTGCCGGGGAGCTCTGTGCCAGAGGACCCCGGGGCTTCCCTCGCCGCGGCGGGGTGGGCGGGGGGGATGAGACTGCAGAAGCCGGCGCCGGCGGAGGCGGCCGGGCGCGGCATCACGTGGCGCCGCCGCAGCTTTCTGCTCCGGAGCGCGCGGGGTTCCGCGGCCGAGCGCTGAGGGAAGGGGCGTTCTGTGCCCTCCCCCCGGCTGCAACCACCCGGCGCTGCGGTGCGGGGGGCTGCGCCGTCACCTGACCGCCGGGCGCACCGCCCCCCCCGCCCCCATAAGTAAGGGGGGGAATGGTAGTGCCTGGTATATGACACCGCAGCCCCCTCCCCTGCTGCCTCGTGCGAGCTCCGCGCTGCTGCAGCGGCGCAGGAGGAGAAGGAGGTGGTGGCTGGGGCCGCTGCCGGGTGCTCAGCGGCTTCTTCCTACAGGTGAGCGAGTGAGTCCGTCCCTGGGAGAGCGCTGCGGAGCCCCCGCGAGACAGGCGCCCGGGCGGCGCGGGGGCCTCTGTCCCTGGTGGAGGTGGCTGGAGGGAGGGAGCTCGCTCGCAAGGCACTCGAGCAGCACCGGGCATCTGACACACGGACACCATGGGGGGAGGCGGAGAAAAGACCCCTCTGGCTCCATCCTCCTCCGGGCATCTCCCCTGGAAGGAGGCATTGAAGTATGTGAAGGGCAGGAAGGGATTTTTAAGGGGTGTGGGGGTTGCACTTCCTATGCCTGTTCCAGCCTAGGCAGGGATTAACGTGTCGGTATCAAACTAAACCCTCCAGCTGGCCCAACCTGGCAGCGACATCTTCCTTGCCCGCATCGCATCTTCTTCTCGCCTGCTCAGCGGCTTTTCCTTTTCCTTTCGGTGCATGGTTAGCTGTCATCTGCCTCCCGCGGCCAGGGAATGGAGCCCCCCCGCGTTTGGTTTTAGAGGTGCCTGGAAGCAATGGAGGAAGCAAGTCTAGGTAATAAGGAGCCCTGGTGCCGGTCAATGTGAAGTGTCATGTGCCACAGAAGGGCACAGCGAGTTGCTAAAATGCAGTCTGCAGTGAATGAAGGCATAGGAGGTCTCCATAGAGGAAGAAGTGAGACATAATTGGACTGAATTGTGAGCAGAGGCTGCTAACTCCACCTGCTCTAAGATCCTGGCACTTAATATAGCATGCTTTAGGCAGTTTGTGTGAAATGACTTGCATAGCTAGTCCAGCTACTAACTCCACCTGCTCTAAGATCATGGCATTGAATATCAGCATGCTTTAGGCAGGTTGTCTGAAATGTCTTGTATAGCCAGGCATAGACTGACTTCCTTATTTTGCAGCAAGCGCGATTGACATACACAGAAACAGCAATTAGTAAAAATGGGTGTGTCAGCCCTAGACTTCTGTCAAGATTTTTTTCTGGTATAGCAGCGCTGTCTGGACTGAACGCTGGCTGACTCTGAAATGAAGATGGGCGTAGCCAGGGCAGTTGACTTCTGCAGAGGTCCTGATACCTGTGAGAGAGAGGCATTATGATTTCTCAGAACAAATTAACCATATAGAAGAATCTGTCCCTATAGCTAGGCACTTAGGTTGCTTCTGAATAATTTCATTTGATCTGTTATCAAGAAAATGGCATTGTGACCCCACATGAGAAATAGTGGCAGGCAGTTAAAGCTAAGCAAAGACAATGGGGTAGAAAATGGGACAACAAATGCTTCGTGAGTTAATTTCCCTGGAAACAGAAGTGTCTTAAAATCTGAGGAAACAGGACAGTTTAACTTCTGCAGTCACAACCATAAATCTTGCAAATCTGTGGAAAAGCAAAACAACGGAGAAATTTAAATGCGTCCAGTGATGCGGTGCAAAAGAGCTTACAGGTTTTTATGTCGGGGTTACTTAATAATGACTAGCATCCTCAGAAAGTAACATTTAACAATGGGGCACTGAATTGGATGCTGGCTATTAAAGAAATAAGATTAGATAGGCTTTTGCATATATTACTTTTAAACTAATGATTTTAGTCTCATTCACATTTTTTTGAGACTAAAACGTGTCAGTAATCTAGAGTTTTCAGTCACTGAGGAACAAGAAGAGCAATGCAGCTCTATAAATGCATTAGTGAAAAAGTAGGAACTGCGACACTTCCAGTGTTAACTTCAAAACTGTAAAAATGCTTCTGAAATCCAGTTGTGGGGAGTGGCAGCACTTATGGTGCAGCAGGTGACCTGTACTAGCTTATATATATAATCTTGAGATACACAAATGCCTAATGAGGTGGCTCAAACCATCACTCATTTATAGTGCCTTCTGATCAAAATTTGGAATATGTCACCATTCAAATGAGTGTGATGGTTTGAGCCTGCTCCTCATTAGGCATTTGTGTCTCTCAAGATAATAAATGTATAAAAAGATAATATATGTATAAAAATCACAAGGCTCTGCATGCGAGACTCCAAAAGGCAAGGAATGCTGGGCGTGTACGAGATTGAGGCACATTAGCAGAGGTGGGTGGGGGAGAGAGAAGGCCTGCCTTTTTACCTGCATTATGGCTGTCTTTAGAAAGAGCCCTCAATCTTTGCCATTTGCAGAAAGTGTACAGTCTTCAACTGGAACCATCGAAAGACAAAAGGCCCGTCTTGATTGTTGTCATTAATTTAAAGTCACATTTGTATAAAAGGACTCTTCAAAATTCTTCCTTTTAACATCGTTACGTGAAGTAGAGGTTTCCTGTGCATATAAGCGCAGTCATCAGTGGATGCCTATTGTTTTACCTAGCAGTCTCTACCCAACGACAACAACAATAATATGCAGTGGGCGCTCTGTCCTGTCCTTGTGTAGGGCACTGCCTTAAAATATACCTGGCAAAATGTGGAGAGATAGTCAAAAAATAAGTGGAGACTGTAATCTTAGTATTACAGAAAATCTTCTAAGGGCAGTTATGTGGCCATCTAATTCCAGCAGCTTTTCTTTAAATATTAAACAAAGCCACACCTCAAAAAAAGTGTGTGCAATCAAAAATGTGGAAAGCTGCTATATACATATACTCCCTGTCGGTGTCTTTGGAAGAAAAGTATCTACCTTTGGAAATTTGGTATTTTTATGCTCTGGGGTCTGGTAATTTGCACAGTAATTGCTGTGTGAGAATGTTCCAGAATAGCAGCTCCTCGGGTTCTCTCCTTAAATGTGTGTGTCAGACCATTCCACAACGCCCACTTAC